TTTTTGTATTTTTAACAAAAATTGTTCGGTAAAAAAAGGGATGGTAAAAATTACAAGAGTCAATTTTTTGTTTCTATAAAATTAGTCATCTTTCAACTCACTTGGAAAGATTCCCCGTAAAGTGCCCCCTGGAGGTTCTATCAGAATTCCGCCGGAACTTCCAACGTAATTCAGTCGGAATTCCATCGGAGTTCCAAAAAATTTCCGATGGGATTCCGACGGAGTTCCGACGGAATTAGGACTCTAAAAGTTTTAAAAAAATTAATCGGAATTCCGCCGGAATTCCATCGGAAATCCGATATAATTCCGACGGAATTACGTGGGAAGTTCCGGCGGAATTTTGATAGAATTGATATATAAAATCTTGTTTTAAATTTTGAAAAACAATATTGCTGCTTCGAAAAGTTATTTATTTTTTGACATTTTTTTTTTCTAAAGTGGAAAACTCGAATTCCAAGAAGAAAAACCCTTTTCTTTTTTGACAAAATGATAAAATAAAAAAGTGAAGAGAGACATTCCAAAAGATACCGAAAGAGAAGACATATTTTATCGTTTGTAACTCGAGATTTTTCTTCGAAGAAAATGTCAAAGAATGAAGAAGATGCTTGTAGGAGGGAGGTGGTGGGGGGGGGGGGAACTGTAAAAGGTTTGAATTGTGCACGAAGAAAGTGGACCAACTCGTAGAAAAGTTTTGGAACAGTAAACTGTCCTCTTCTCATAGTTAACTTTCATGTAAATTTCAAACGTTTCTTAGTCTTTTGAATTGTTTTTTTTTCACCAACTTTCAACATTTAAACTTTTAATTTTACTTTTATTTCTTTTTTTCTTCTTTTTTCATCCCTAAATTAATTACAAGTTTATTTTTCATCAATTAAAAACACATTTTAAAGAAAAAAATATCATACTTATTGTACAAAAAACATTTATATTTATTTATAATTTTCTATTTTTTATATTATTATTATTATTTTATAATTATGGGGTCGTCCATACGTTCCCTACTTTAGGAGAGGGAAGAGGAGGAGATCAAAAAGAATAAAAAATTGGTATTATTATTATTTTTCTTATTAATATTATTTTTATTTATACTTTTATTATAATTATTTTTATATTTACAAATTTTATCAATAATTGGAATGAAGGGAATTTTTCCAATAATAATATAAATTCGTTTTGAATAAATTCAGTTAAGTGTGAATATATTTATTTCATATTTAATTAATTATTTATCTCGATGAAATCAGAGAGCAAAAAAAAACATAAGAGAATTCTCTTGAAAATGGTATTGAAGATAGAAATTAAAAAAAAAAGAGGAAAGAAAAAACGAATATAGTATACAAGACGGAGGATGTGGGATAAAAAAATTCAATTGAAAAGATGAGGGGGAAAAAAAAATTATGAATAATGGCATATATTCTTTTTTATTTAAGTTCAGAGGCGACGGATATAATTGCTGTTCGCAAATTAACAAAGGAGCGCAATTAGCCTCCAGTGCACAAACTGAATCTATTGCCGTGCGATCATATTGGTCACATTGGTTTAGTTCCTTTCTAAACGAGTTTCCAATTAACGATTGCTCACAGATAACAATAGAAGAGAGAGAGAGATAGAGGAAGAGAAATATATATATATATATCTCGCTGTAGTATAGATTACTAAAAGTAGATTTTCTCTCCTCTTCATGTCTCTTCGATAAAATGGAAAATTTAAATTGCTTCTATTTTTAAAAGTCAAGTCACACGATATAAAAAAAGTGTTTTAAATTGATTTTGATTTGAATTTTCTTATTGACAAACTTTTTAAATTCTGTAATTTTTATCGATTACTTTGACTAATATTATTATTTTATATTCTTCAATTTTTTTAATATAAAAAATATATATAATAATTTTTTTTTTAATTTTTTGTATATAGTATTTATTTATTTAAATTTAAAAAGACCAAAGGCCACAATTACCAAAGAAATTATTATTTAATAAAAATAAAAAAAAATTTTAAAAATTAAAAAAATATATATATAACAATAATAATATTAATAATAACAATATATATTAATATATAATAATAATAAATAAATTTTGTTTCGTTAATGTATTTTCTGATACCTAATATTTGTATCAATTAATTCTTCAAAGTGAAAATCGATATGGAATAAATGTTTAAAAATTTGATCGAGTGTATTACAAGAGTAGAGAAGGTCAAGGGTCAAACTGAACTTATCCTCATAAAGCTTTCACATGAATAATGTAAACATTCATCAAAAATTTAGTAAGAAATTCAAATATCATGAATTTTTCAACAACAAAAAAAAAAAAATATGACATAATTTAATCAACGTAGATAATAATTTTGAATTAAATTTTTTTTTTATTTGTCGTGACAAAATTACAAAACTATATTTATATACACATTAATTTAGAATAAATAGAAATTATTTCATGGCAGTGATTAAAAAAAAAAAAATTTTAAACATTTCAGATAAAATTTCAAAGCAATTTTTTTTTTGTTGAGAAAAGTATCAAAAATCCCGTTTCTTTTTTTTTTGGGGGGGAAAGAAATTTTCAACCACAGCATTTCTTGCTCGATTTAATGGCGGAAATTCGTGTTCGTTGATGGTATATAAGGGTCACGAACAAAGTTATCCGAAACCGAAGGGGAATCAAGTTTCATCTCTCACTCTATCTCATTATTTGAAAAAAACGATAAAGAAAAATTTTCCCATTCTTATAAAATTAAACTACACAAGAAATTGATAGTGTTTCTCTTGTCTGATTGATGAATTGGCATATATATATATATATATATATATATATATATTATGACGTGACTATATTCTATATTTATATATATAATATTTTTCTGTAATAATTAATGATATCAATTTAATCAATGAAACTGATGAATATTATTTCTATTCGAAGGGAAAGTATATTTCTTTTACAAAAGCGGTATCATTACGATGGTGATTATTTTCACGTTTTTTTTTCTTCTCTCCTTTTCATTTATATCATGCTTTCGTTTCATTAATTACAAGAATATTCATAGAAGAAGTTTTTATTTAGAAAATAAAAGAAGGTGTCTATTTTTACATTTATTATTTGAAAAGAAGTCTTTAAATTTTAATTATTAAAAATTCGTTCACTAATATTTAAGTTAGTGAAAATTTTTACTAATTTTTTAGTTATTTTTCACTAAAATTTTAGTAAAAAAAAAAGTGTACTTTACTAAATCATAATAATATACTATGGTAAGGAATTTATAATAAAGAAATAGAATTTAAAATTATTTTTAAAAAAATGTTCCACTGTAGAAAAAATAATAATTGATCTATAATATGAACATTGAGAGAATTTTGTGGGTTAACTAAGGTTTAGCCAATATTCAGGAATAGAGAGAATGGGTTCAGAGGGTAAATGGTAGTGCCCCACTGCGCAGATTATGTACCCCCTGTCGTGTAGAGTATATCCCGGAAGCAGGTGTTCTGCTGATAACGCGCGCTGAGGTTCGGCACTTGATTCGTGTTGATGCATCGCCTCACTGTTTTCATTCTATACTATACCTGTTTCAATCGAATCAATCGATCCAACTATGTATATATACTATCATGCTTTATACCAGCTCAAGTCTTAAGTGTAGTCGTACATAATTACTTCACTCATCCTGCATCTCTCGTGATAACATTTATTTCATCCGTAATTTCAACTTCCGATTTCAAGGTATTGATAACAAGAGAGAGAGAGAGAGAAAATTAGTTATTAACTTCCGATACTTTAAATTATTTACAAAGTAAATAAATAAATAAAAATTACAATTAAATTAAAAAATTTATCGAATTTAATCTCTATTTTGAAAAAAAAATCATAACTGATTTATAAAAACAAGAAAGAAAGAATCAAAATTCACCTTCTCACAGAAAGCAAGGTTTTCATTTAGTAGCATTCTGTTAATTTTTTGGGTTTTATGGCTCAGGCCCGAAAGCCTTATAGTTTCGCATTGGCGTCGGTCCGTCCGTCCGTCCTCGACTAGTCAGATTGCTTTGTTGGTTAAGATTGCCGACTCGTGTGTGTTCCCAGACAGCACGTAAGCTTGCAGCAACCTTCAGGCAAGCTTCAAATGTCCCACCTAACCCAAGCTTGCATGGTAAGCTTGCCGAAAGATTGTAGTCTAAGGTTACTGCAAGATTGCGTTATAAGATTACCGCAAGCTTGCCATAAGGTTGCCGAGCAAGTTTGCTGCAACCTTCTGTGCTGATTGGCAAGGTTATTTAGCAACCTTGCACCAACCTTGCAACAAGCTTACCGTGCAAGCTTACTGAGTAATCTTGCGATAATATTATTGTGCAATGTTACAGTAATCTTACACTGCAATCTTTCGGTAACTTTACCATGCACGTTTGGGTCAGGTGGGTCATTTGAAGCTAGCGGCAAGCTTGCCGTGTAAGGTTGGCAATATTGCGCGGCAAGCTTGCCGCAAGGTTGCTGCAAACTTACGTGCTGTCTGGGAATTAGGTTTGGAGTTCGATTCCCACTAGTGTGGTTTTTTTCTTAAAACAAAAATTTTCTCAGTATTACATAGAATATTACCTCAATATTATATGTAATATTCCCTCAATATTATATGTAATATTCCCTCAATATTATATGTAATATTCCCTCAATATTACATGTAATATTACCTCAAAATTACTTGTAATATTGCCTTAAAATTACTTGTAATATTACCTCAAAATTACTTGTAATATTACCTCAATATTACATGTAATATTACTTTGAGGCGGACATTTTAATATTACTGTAATATTATTTGGGTTCAAATATAATTGGTATTTGTATCAAAATATTTTTAATTTTTATTAAATAATTTTTAGTTATTTCAAATAATTTAATAAATTATTATATTAATAAATTAGTAAAATTACTACAATATTTAATAAATTTTCTTCAGTAGAATTAATTAATTTTTATTACTTTATTTATATTTTCTTTTCTGTTTACTTTCAGGTACGAACAATGGATGGTCCAGCACGAAGGTCAATTCAATAATTAAAATATTCTAAACACGTCGCAGTTACAATCCGGGAGTCAAGCTGTTTGCACGTGCTCATTATCATTACAAAGTTTTATTAAATTTCCTTTTTTTTTTTTTTTCTCTTAAAAACAGTGATTAGATTCAGGAGTGTACGAAATTTTTAAAACCGCGAACGCTTTTTAATAGTGAACAGTATTTATTTATTTAAAAAAGAAATTATTTCGAGAGTTTTTAATTTAAATCGTGAGTGTGTGTGTGTTCAATCAAGAAGATAATGGGCTTCAAAATCATTTTCTAAGGAGAGGGAGAGAGAACTGGGTCCTGACAACGATTTTAAGGTAGGATTATAATTATTATAAAAATTTAATATATTTTATATATATAGTATACATTGGAGTAGTTTTAATTATAAATTTAATGAGCTTGATATTATTAAATTAATTAAAATGGTGTGCGGTTTTATTTATGGTGACACAAGCAATTACTTGAGAAAATTAATTCACGAAACAGTTAATTTTCTCATGAGCGGCGCGTATATATGTATATATATATCTTTTCATAACGGTACAGAGAGACGTTTATACGACATAGGAAGTGGTGTGACAAGGCTGCCATTGCAAAATTGTAGAAATTACTTGTTCTAACAAATTGTGCAATTTTAACTTTCTCTCCATTTAATGAAGAAAAGTACAAATTTTCACCTCTTTGAACTAGCTAATTCTGTCTGTGTCACACACGGTTCAGTGAAAACATTTATTTCAATTTAAAAAAATAAAAAAAAAAAAGAATTACATTTGATTTCGATAAATTTTACAACTTTTTACATTTTTCCCGCATTACTAACATTTTGTGTAAAAATAAAAAAATAAGGTAAATTTTTAAAGAAATGACCTGCGAGCTAATATAGGAAACTGATTTACCGACGGACGGTACAAAGAACAGAAAATTCTGTCGGTAATATAGAAATCTTAAATATTTTATAATTTTTGAAAAAAATTAGCAGTGGCACTTAATTTACCATCTCCACTATACGGTTGTTAAAAAAAATCAAAATATCTTTCATAGTTTTCGAGTAAGAAGGTAAAAATGTAAATTAAAATAACTTTATAATTTAATTATAAAAATGAAAAATAAAACAAATATAGGGGAATAGTGTCAGGGTTGGACACTTGGCTTTTTTAAATAAGAACACTAGCGCCACCTGTGTGCGTACGTGACGAATCTTCTAGTAGTGTAACCTAACTTTTTGTGACATTACATTTTTGGAGAATCAAAAGTAGCGTCTCCTGTGACTTCGGTGCAATCGAAGAGACAAAAAACGTTTTGTTTGACTTGTGGGCTACATAATTTAAGAAGAAAAAAAGTGAAAAATCGAATCGCGACACATGTCTGGTTATGGTTAGCACAATTCGAAAATGATGCTTCTAGTTAGGGTGGGACCCTTTATACAGTTTGGGTTGGACACCCATATTAATTATGAATTTAACATAATTTATAAATAAATATACAAATAAATTTTATTTTCTTGATATTTCAGTGCAAAATTGTGCACAAAGATATTAGAAAAATAATACTTAAATTGTATAAATTTTGTTCATCATTTAATTAAATTACCAAAAAATTAATTTAAATAATAAATAAAAGAAATTTGGATAAATTTAATTAATTAAATAAGTAATTTTAATCAATTAAATATATATTTAATTAAATTTTTAAAAAAAAATTAAAATTATTAGCAAAATTGATATTCAAGACGCATGAAAGGTCACCAAAGACTAATTTGTCTTCTCAGATGTTTTTTCTCATCTTGTGTCTCTCTAGATAGTAAAGGATGGAATAACGTTAAATAATTTTCTTTAACTTTCATCCGGTGTCTCTGGCAAGACTTGCAATTTGCATTATTAATGAAACTTGGTATCTGACTTGTCCTCTTTGCATCCCCCTTGAGATGTACCTTTCTCTCTATGTGCACCTCTCTTTCTTTTTTTTTTTCTCTTTTTTTTTGCCATCTCTCTTTATTCCTCTAGCGTCAGTCTTTCTGTTAGCCGCACTTGTCGCCTCTGATTGTACTAGAGGGTTGCTAACATCTTGGAATTTTATTATCTCCCCCTTCTACGTTACGTGCGTTACGTACAAAGAAAAAAAAATAAAAATAAAAATAAAGTTTCAACAAAAAAAAAAAAAACGTAAAAAGAAATTTGAAAAAATAAAAATAAAGTTTCAACAAAAAAAAAAACGTAAAAAGATATTTGAAAAAATAATTTTTTCTATAAAAAAAATTTTCTCTATTAAAAAAAAAATTCCGGCATTTATTCCCTTGAGGAAAATATATTTTTGACATTTTTTATTTTTCTTTAAGTCAATTCATTGAAATACTTTGGGAAAAAAAATTTATACCCCTAAATCTCTAAAGTGGAAATATATTCCGAAAGGATTCCGGGCAAGTTACGATGCTTTTCGTGGAGAACTCCGCTGAGTTAATGCGGAAGTTAAGTAGATTTAAAGCACTGCACTTTCGATGCATCAAGTCGACCTGTCGACACTTATCCGATTATTGAATTCACAAGAATATCTGAATTTATGGGAAAATATTTTATAGATGATTTTTCTATTTTTTTTTTTAATATTTCGCGAATTGAAGCTTTTTAAGAAGGAAAAAAAGAAAATTTTATATAGAATACTTTTTTTCATATGGATTAAATTTTCTAGATAATTTTTTTTCGAAGTATTAAATATTTAATTAAAGAATACGAGTGAAGAATTTTTTTTTTCTTTTTTGATAATCTGGCTATAAAAATGAAAGAAATTCTAAAGTTATAACAGTAATTTATTCTTTTGAGTTTTGAAGAATTTTTTTCTGTAGATCTGTATTGCCCTGGGAAATGATAGGTTTCTTCAGCTGACGTAGTACCAAGAAAGTTTTGGAGGGACGACACAAAAGTTTGAAAATAAGAAAAAAGGAAAAAAGAAAAACTCTTAAACTTTGTTCGGTAGTTGTCTTTCTAACTTTCTCTGGCTTTCCGGGGTAAAACCTTCAGAAAGACAGGCATTCTGAAAAAGAATCGTGAAAAAAGATTAATGAAGTCGAAAAATTCTTCATAAAAATGTGAATATAAATACCGACATTCACGCTCTTTTGAAGATATATTGAAAAATTATATATTTTCTTCAATTTCTTTTTTTTTAAATTTTCTATTTTAATATTTTTTCAGTTGTAACTAAATTTTTATTATTATTTTTATTATTTTACTATTTTATTATTATTAATATAATACCTAATAATAATAATAATATATTTATTTATTTATTTATTTATTACAACTCCAGATCAATATATAAATATTGTTATTTTAATTTTTTTATTCTTGTTTGGTTTTCAATTTTACATAACAGATATGTAATTGATTTTTTTATTGCAAAAGTTATTTTACTTGGAAAATTTTATTCACGTAAGAAAAAAGAAGAAAGGATTTTAAAATTCATTTGAAGAAAATGCTCAATTGGATTATTAGAAGCTATTCGAGTCGAAATTGAACAATGATTATCTGAGCCGTATAAAACGAAGCAAGAGGAAAAGATGCGATTCGTATTTCTTTAATTTTAAAACGATAAAGTCATTTCTTTATTTCACTAACGAACACATCTACTTTGATTTGAATTGAAATTGAATTCGAAAAATGTCTGGAAAAAAATCAAGTTTGATATTTAAAAAATTTTCTATTATAAAAGGAATTTTATAATTTTCTATTTTATATAAATAAAAAGAAATTTTATAATTTTCTATTTTATATAAATAAAAAGAAATTTTATAAAAAAGAAATTTTTTATCGTACTTTTTGTAATAAATAGGACACTATTAGAGCATTATTATTATTATTATTATTATTATTGAAATTTATCAAAATTTTTTATTTACAAAAATTATCTTTTTGGAAAATTTAGTTTATTTTTCTTTCTCAGTTTTCACTTTTTGTATTTTTATCTTATTTTCTTCTTTTATCAAAATTTTATTTTCAGTAATTTTTTTTCTTTCATTTTTTACATTTGACTTACAATTTTCAAAACTTTTCAACCTCTAGTTGTGATCGTAAAAATGTTTTCGTTTATTTTATTTTATTTATTTTTTTTTTTGTTTAATAAAACAAAAATATTTTTCCACATTTACGATGTGTTTTCTGGCTTCAATATTGGAAAATTGAAATTTACAAAAATAAAAATAAAAATTACAAAATGTCAATAAATTGTGAAAATATATATCTTTTCAAAATGGAAAATTTAAATCACTTGAAATGCGATAAACAAATTTTTTTCTTAATTATGAAAATAAAAAAATTTCGTAGCATTCTCGAGGAATTTATATAACATTTATATATGCAAATATATATATAGAGAGAGAGAGATCAATATAAATGAAAATCAAACAAGAATTGAAAATTTAATACAAAATATAATTGAAAATTTAATATAGTAGCTTTATACATAAGAGTATAATATTTATTTGTATGAAGATAATTTCAATATTGATTTAAAATAGAAATAATTTTATCAGAATGTTTAACGAGAATGAGAAATGGAATTTGCGGCAAAGGAATTGCGTGTTAATTATAAAATTATCGATTGAAACAGTCTCACGAAACCTAATAATGACGTGAGCTTAATAAGCGTTGATGAGCGCGTACCTTCCAAGTTTTACTATAAGACCCGGAACTCGCCACAATTATTTCATAATTAAGATTCTCTCAGTAATGTACTCGATATATAAAATACCATTCACTATATATATATATATATATAAAACTTTATATAATATTCTTCTCCACTTTGAGAAACTCTTTTTATTTTATAATCAGATTATAATTTAATCAGTATTTACATTATTCATAAATTATAATTAACCCCGGAAACTTTCTATATTTCAAAAATATAGAATTTAAAGAATTTTTCATTAAACATTAAAAATATCCAATTGAGAGGTTTCAGTTGATTGCAATATTGAGTAGAAAAAAAAAGATATATCGACTGAAAGTTGATTTTTTTTAATTAAAAAAGGAAAAAATTTAATATAAAGTAACTTTTTAATTAAATATATTTGAAAATTTGTAATGTAAAAAATGTATTTGCGTCGATAATTTAATCAATTTTATTTAACGATAAAATTTCTGGATATAAAAAAATTAGAAAAAAAGAATGAAATATTAGAGGTGAAAATTTGAATAAAGGAGAAATATGAAAATTTTTGACTAATTAGGCAAAATATTAATTATAGAAAATAAAACATTAGAATAAAACCACAGTTATTACATTTTAAAAGGTCTTTAAAATTTCTCTCTATTAGATA